ACCAAAATTTAAAATAAAAATTTATGCATTAAATAAAAAAGAAAACACCAGATGGACAATGTAGCAGGCACGACAAGTAAGACGAGAAATAAGACACACATAAGAGTAGCTAATAGCTAATAAATATTTTAACTTTAGATAGCTGACATTTGATTTGACACATTTGAGAATCCACGTTTTAATATTTTACCAGTTTATTGTATGCTAATTTTAAAATAATATTAAACTATTCCAATGCCGCCTTCCTATGTTTGATCATAACTAAGACGACTCAGATGCTTAGTATAGTGATAGCATTTTTATTTTTATTACCAGTTTAATATGTTTCTTTTAATATTTAAAAAATCTATAATAATTATCCAATTAATTTGGACCTCCATGGCATGTAAGAGAGAGAGAGACGAGAGAGAGGACCGAGAGAGACACCCTCTCTCAGTTTAGCACCGCAAACTCCCTAGATAGGCAACAATACTCAAGATGAAGATGAGAGTCTATCTCAATAATTTATTGTCAATAAGTCATAAAGATGATCACATCCTTCATGTAAGTCAGACGTGAATTATTTGTTGATTTGATTACTGATTGATGAACCTGTATTATAAAATCCTACAATATTTAATGCACCAAAATGATTATTTAAAAACAAAAAAAATCTTTTCATCCTTATTCTATTATGTTCCCACTTTTAAATGAGCCAATACCCTATATATTAATACAACTTATTTTACTGTACTTATTATGTATAGTTACCATGTTAATTCCTATTCTTCGTGCTTCCCTATATATTTTTATTCTCATTTTCATCTACTTAACCTCTTTATCTGTAGTCTAAAATTAAACACTTTTCACTCTACAAGTGTTAACAAATCTTTCTTTCCCACTTATTATCAATAGCAGTGAAAAGCTACCTGAAATGCAACAATTTATACTCCTTAAAGAGCACCCTCCCTTACTTATGTGGAAGTTATTTTTACTTTACTTGTCACTTAGGAAAATTAAGAAAAGCTTTTTTTAAAATATTTTCTAATGCTAATATCTATTTTTGACTAATTATATATAAAAAATAGACTATTTATTCTATCATTCTAGTAGGTCTCTTAGTTCAATGTCGATCATTTATTGCTTTATAATATAATTGGTTGCATATTGAATTTGTTGATCCGAAGAGAAAAAAAAAAGAATGGAGGTGATTTAAAATTCATTACATTTTAACAGAAAATTTTTAAAATGTGGTGGTGCTTTAACATGAAATAAAGATTAGCATTGGTTTATTAGTTAAATTGAATGAAGGAATTTTAATAGTTTTCTTACTGTATATTTTTAAAAATCAATATTTTTAATTCATTTTTTATAATTTTTTACTGAAAAGATTAAAGTGAAATGCGGGAATAATTAAATTTAATTAAATGAGTTTGACGTGTATTATTTTAATAATGCATGATTTGATATTTTAAAATTAGAACAACAAAAAGGAAATATTTACAAACATTAACACATGACATGACACCACTCCAATATAAAACTTAACATGCCTCCCCACAATAACCATTCAGCCAATGTAATTAAAAAGGATACTCAAAGTAGAGACGCAAAGTTGTTGCCCCAATTTTAAGAGGAAGGAACTATCAATCCGCCAAAGGAACAAAGCAAAATCACCTCCATTTATTCTCAAAACAAATAAAAGCTAATGGTATGGGACACTCTTTCTCTCTTCCACTTTGCTCATGTTTCATAAATTGTGGATTCCATGTCTCATAGTCTCTCTTCTGCTTATTTAGGTAATTACACAAGCTCTATGATTTTCTTACACTTTACGAGGTCAGCATTCCATTTCAACTGGATTTAGAACTTTTTCTTGCTTCAAAAAACGATTTTAAATTAAACAAAACTTTAAAATTATAAAGTCCGCTCAAAACTTTAAAAATTAAAATTCGAATGGCTCATTTATAATTAAAACAAAATTGTTTCTTTTATGGACTTCCGACTCAATTTCAATTCTTTTAGTTTATTAAGTGAAATCCAGTAAGTTTGAAACTGGCTTTTTCCAAACTCAAACATTCGACTATTTTCAGCAAGTTTTTGAACCGGGTTCTACCCAACTGAAACTTCAATAGGCTCACCAGCCTGACTACGAGGATATTTCATGTAATGTAAATATTTCACGCAAAGAATGCCAAACATCGTTAGGGAAACTGACCCCCCAACAATCACACAATGCACTATTAAGCGAGCCCTTAACTTGCATGACTACTGATTAGGGAAGGAAGGTGGGAAAACTTGGGGTGGGCATCTATATTAAAATGTGAAAAAATCCTCTGCCACATTAAAATGGCAATCCCTTCTCTCTCTCTTCTCTCTCTCTCTATATATTATATTATATATATTAGTTTTGACGCCACTTTTTTTTTTTTTTTTTTTTTCTTTTTCCTGAGTCCAAACGTCACGGAATCTATACACTAAAGAGGATAACGTCCACTTTGAATATTTACTCTTCCAGTCCCCAACATTGGGGACCATCAACTCACTCACTTTACAGGTTTTCTCTACCACTAGACATTCTGTCCTAATGATTCCCGTGTTTACTCTGTTATGTCCATTTATCGGTTTCTTATTTTTTGGGATTCAGGCAAGACAACAGACACACCATATAATATTGGACAACAAATTTTAGTAACAAATTGAAAATTTAAATACTCGTACCATTCCTTTACCTTGCTTCAGGATTTTAAATTATTTAAATATTAGGTTTATGCTCTCTCATCAAAGTTTTCAATTCAACCTTTTAAAAACAAGTGTCAAAAATATCATTAATAATTATTAAAATTTAAGATCAATCAAGTTTACTTTCAATTATTTGAAAAAATTTGTTTCATTGCATAATTTAAGCTTGGAATTTTTTTTTTTTTTTTAAATTTTCCAATATGTTGTGATTACAGTCAAAACTAGTTTATTGATTTTTTTTTTTTTTCTTTTTTTGGGAGAATGAAGCATTAATTTAAGGAATTTGTATGTTTTTAAGGACAAAGTTTATCTCAAAATAAGAGTAAAGAAAAATTTTAAAAAATAACAAATTAATTTAATGGGGGTAACCTAGACTGTTTATAGCGATTGGTACATTTCGGAGTATTTCACCTAAACAGAATTTGGAACACCTATAGTATTTTGTTTAATTTTTTCCATATTCTGAACAATGAACGCTTCCTCATTTATTCATGCTTATTTCATTATGCAAATTTTTAGGGTTGAGAAATGCTTACTGGTTTGAACTTGTAAAGGGGGGACATTTTGTTGGCAATGAGAGATATCGTTCCTTATATCACTCTCAAGGCCACCAAGCCACTTCATTTTTGCAAGCATCTCTGTTTGACATCTGAATGCTGTAAATAATTTTCTCCAAAGAATTTTTTATTCTGGGGTTAAAAGAAAATGAAGAACTAAGAGAAATGGATACATACTTTGTAAGCATTGAATTGGTTTACTGGCTCATTACAAATGGGCCAAATGTAATTCACCCTGAAACTTTACGAAGCAAATATGGCACAACAGAGCGAGCTCATTCAGTTCCGTGGATAGAAGAAACTATTAGGAGTAAATAAGTTGTGGCACCCCAAACTTTTGCAGGGAACATATTTTGCACAAGGTTATTTGGTTGTAAAGTTCAGGTGGGAGAATGTAAGTATTGGCCTTTCTACATGTAAAACACTTTGTCTAGGAATCATTCTTTATTATTACAGAAAGGATTTCAGTACTCAGAATTTGTGCATGTAGACGTATTATATTACAGGTTACAGCCAAAAAAAAAAAAAGGGAAATAAGAAAAGGAAACAAGTCATATTTAAAATTTACAACAGAAAAAAGAAGAAGAAAGAAAACCTGCAAAGGGTTTGCTTATTCGACGAGGCATAAGTTGCTTTTTAGATAGTTCTACTGATATCTGCCTTTTCAACTTGACCCCAGATTTGATATCTTCTAATATGGTACCTGTAAATAACTCTTGTAAATTGTGTAGCTGCGCTTCATATAATTTTTGTATTAGCAATTTGTGGGCTTAAGCATTACAATTATACTTCCAAGGTTTACAAGATCTGTTGCATTATACTCCAAGTTGAAACTTGTGTGGAACAGTTCAATACTTTTACCCTACGAATGAAATGTTTTGGCGTTTTTTCAATACCTAAGGTCTGAAATTAGGTTACAGTTTCTAAATTTAAAAAAATATTTCGCAGATCCCACTCTTGAGCTTGGATTAATTAATCAATTTCAGTTACTCTAATTGAACTGGCACAATTGGAAAAACAAAAATCCCAATTATCTTTCTCATTCTCTAGCTTCTTTTTCTCTCTAAATTCATCCTTGTGCTCTCTCTCTTCTGTTTGTTGTTGAGCCTCCAAATAAGTAGATCTTGCTAGAGGTCATCTTTTCTTTTACCACACCAAACAATTATTACTCTTACTGGCTAGTAGTATTCACGTTACCAAACCAAAGAAATAACTTTGGTGTTTTTGTGGAAGGAATAATCTGTGGGCTTCTTAGAGAGGACCTCACAGTAGGTGCACACAGCCTTAATGATGTAAATGCCAAATTAATAAACTCAATTTTGGTGTCAATAGTTACAATTTCTTTTTTTTTTTTTTTTTTTGTTTTTTGAATTTCTTGAGAGCAAATTCTATTTCTAAATTGGTGCTTCTCTTTTGAAATTTTTTTTTTTTTTTTTTTTTTTTTTTTTGCAATTTCTTGAGAGCAAATTTATTCTTCTAAATGCTGCTTCTCTTTTGAAAGCATGTCAGGAGAAGATATCCAAAAGTACAATTAATTCTAATAATTCCAATAATCCCACTAAAAACAGTGCAAGTTACTCCTTGAAGAACAAATGTTTGGAAGAAAGGAAAAAAAGTCACCAACTCCCAAATATTCAAAAATTTTTAACAAGAACACAGAAAGACAAGAAATAATAATAATAATAATAAAAGAATATAGCTAATTGTAAAAAGAACAAACCCTAGATAAAGCTGTAGACTAATTTGCTTCAAAGGCTAAGGATATCAAAACCCAGTAAGAGAAATTGCGAAAAATAGATATGTTAATAAAGAATGAGAAGAAAAGAAAAACAACTTTGATTGTGTGTGTGTCTGTATATAATACAAACACAGTGCGGCCAAAACAGAGGAAGACAGTAGAGGATCAGACAAGACAGGTGTCTTCCATGTTTATAGAGCTTATTTGTAGAAAGCCCAAAAGGGAATGAACTAATTAAGTCTAATCTCCACCTAAAACAAAGAAAGAAAAATTATTAACAAGAGAAACAATAGTGAAACTGAAAGTTCGGAGAGATTGACGAGGAAGAGAACTAGATGAAGGTTAAGTTAAACCAAATTAATATGTGGGGCCATGAAAATATTTTTTTTATTAAAAACCTTAACCCTAATTTCATTTTGGGGTATGATTGTCACAAAGTTCAAATTAGGGTGTGTACTTGCAACAATCATCAAAGTGAGGGTATAATTCTATATTAAGCCAATGTGTGTGTGTGTGTGTGTGTGTTTGTGTAGGAAAGCGAGCAGACACTATAACTGATGCATATTTTAGCACCTGAAAGTGTCCAGCTTTTTCATATAGAGCCTGTCGTTTTGGGCTGCCACGAGCACAACTAATAGCAGAAACAGAAAAATTTGGTGAAATGTATCACAGTATCAATGGATACATATATGCAATGATATATAAGATTTATTATATGCTAATCAATATAAACAGCAGATTCCCATGCACAAAAAGTAACAACTTGTCATGTAAGTCATAATTAATGCAGATCATGGCATCAATAATATAAGTATAGATGATATTTAAGAAATAATTTCCTTTTACATATGTAAGCATGAAGATACCTATCCAACTTGATTTGTGATTTGTCAAAAGATTTCTGGATGTACAAGCTATCAGTATGGACTATTCATCTCTGAATCCAGTGATTAGAAACATGGAATTCTCATAGTAGTATAAATATGCATTTTCTCATGTGTACTTAAAAACCAAAAATCTCATTTATAACTAAATTATTAAAAATAAAAAAGAGAAGGAATAACAAAGTAGGTTTATTTCTAAATCCAAAACTGAAAAATTATTCCCAGGTGCCAGACCAAAAATAGACCAGATATGGACTTTACCTGCGCTGAATATGTGGTAATTCTGATTCAACAAGTGCTTCACGGACAATTTTGCAGAATGGGGAACCCTGAGAGGAAAAGGTTAATGTTTATGAAATGTACATCTCAATGTACATCTCCATGTACATTTAGGTAAATATCAGATCAAGCAACTTATCTTTTAGGTTACACACCAGAAAAGAAAAATGGAATAAAGAACCAAACTTGCTAGGAAAATTTGAAAGAAAATTCGAAAGAACTATACAAACCTCATAGGACCATATTTCAAGTGGTTTGGGTGGTAGTTTCGATGGAGTATAAGATGACCCCTGCATAAAACCCAAGGAAAAATTTGAAGACATGGCTGCACAATATTTTGATTTGCAGGAGATATTGAAGTCATGATTCTCGAGTATGAATATGAATGCAGCATATAAATGCAAGTGAATATTATTAACTTAAGATGCTTGACATAAAAATCATTCCAAACTTGTATAAATGGACAATGCACATTCCAAGAACTTCATTTCAATGCTGATGGAAAAAATTTAAAGTCAATTAAGAAATTCAAACCATTATTACCTTTCCCATACGGCCAATCATAGCAAACCCTTCAGTCAAAGTCTACAAAGAAGAAAAGTTATCAATCAAGAGATCAAGAAGCAATATAAACAGAAATTTGCATTCAAAAGATTGATATGAAGAAATTTAAAAGAAAATTCAAATACTAACTGTTAAAAGACCAAGTGACAGCATGAAAGGAACAGTTCCATCACCTGAACAAAATAAATCAAACACAGAAAATATAAAGAATGTTATGGAATGTAGTAGAAATAATCAATGCAAATCTTATAACTCTAAGCCTCTCTTTATAAGATATGAGATCATCTTAAAATTTGAGAGAATACAAACCTGAATTATACAATAGGAACTAAAAAGTGATTTGAAATTCCTAATTTTAATTTTAAGTTCAGTTACTTTGAGTCTTCATTTTACCCTAAAATGTCTATCATAGACATATAATAGTACCAAAGCAGAAATTGGTACGTAATATTGATCCTCCAAATGGTAGGAAGCATGTAAGGAAAAAACAAAACATGCGAATGTTGGCATAAGTACGTGTCAAACATGTTGGCATAAGTACATTGAAAAAATGTAAAGAGTAACAAGGGTTTATAGGTAGATGAGTGTTGGAATTAGCACAAAATAATTGGTTTTGTGCCAGGACTCTAAAATTTACCCACTTATAAGCCCACGTGTGTATGGGTCCATGAACTTTAAGATAGTACCAAAGTTTCAAGCCATCGCAAACCAAATCCTAGAACCATCTTGGTCAAATATGGGGGACTGATAAATAAACTACTTGTTAACTATCTTAGTATATGGAACTCAATTTTTCTGAACTTTTAAATGAGGAAAAAATATATATATTGTAAGATGAGGAGATAAAAAGTAAAATGCATACAGAAAAAAAAATCGAAGTTAATGCTGAAAAAGTAATTTAGAAATAGCAAAACAGCCAAATGCATAAATTCATCCCTGTAGTTCTCAAAAAAAAGTTTGTGATACTCTCAACTTTTACTTTAATTCATTGAACACTTCAATTTATAATTGGATTTATTAAACACTTCAACTTGCATATAATTCTATTGAATACTCCAATTTGTAAAATTTTATCAATTAAACACTTATTGGATAGTTGAAAATGTGAAAATTATTATTCAAAAAGTTATACTAACCACACATCAAATCAATATTTTGCATATAAATACTAAAAGCCTTAAAAGCTATTGTTGCTAGTATAAAAAGAGGTGTGTAATAACACCAAAATTCATAACTTTGGAAGCATAATAAGTCCAGCAAAGTTTGGGGTGCCACAATATTTTTTATAAAAAATGTATGGTTGAATTTATGTATTTGGCCACAGCAAAAATTAACAGGTCGTTCTCCCATAATATCAGCTTTATAATTATGTGAAGCTCAGGAAAGAAGTTAAAACGAGAAACAAACCATATTTCTCAACCAGATACTTGATTATGTCATCTGATTCATACATTGCAGTTCCAGTATTTGGATCCACCTGCAATCAGAAAGAAAAGTTGATCTTAACTCCAACACAAGGCCAAAATGTTACGTAAACTTATCATGCCTAAAGGCATGAAGTTGCGAAAAGCAAAATACAAAATTACGTTAAAAGATCTCAATTTAGTAATAAGCACCTAAAGTGTGTGACAGTGTGGCCGAGTTTCATGAGTCAATATGTTAGTAACTGAAAATTTTGTTGCCTACTAAATAAGAAGCACCTAATGTGTGTGCTGAGTTAAGGTATTAGAAGCTTCATGAAATTTTGTTTAAGTATATACCTAGTACCATAGAACAGCTACGTAATAAGAAGAAATGTCAGTTTTTCCCACCACATGCAATCATTTTTGCTCAACTCTTTTTAAATTATATCTTAGTGATGATAAATAAAATGTTTGGGACTAAAGAGTTGAACCGGAAGGATTCTTAGCAACCAGAATTGGCTTATGTTTGTTTGAAAAGCTGTTCAACTATTGAGTCAATTTGTAATGTAACTATTATTTCAAAGGTACCAACATCAGAACAAGCTAACCTAAGAAAGATAATTTTGTATTGTTAATGTTCATTTCCATTCAAATCTTCAATTGTAATGTTTTTCTCTCCTGCATTTACTCTAAACCAAAACGCTCAAGCATCCCGATCACAAATGAAATGCAAGATGCCTCCAGTTACCATTTCATGAGAGAGTATACATATCTATATGCATTCTACTATTTGATTTCTCGAAAGATAGGGCTGCAGATCTGGGAATATTAACTATTTTAATTTCGCAAGACTGTTAATTAGGTTATCATCAAAGAGAAGAATAATAGAAGGAATGATCAATGATGACAAACCATGTAAGGGAACTGCTGTTTTCCACCCATCTGAACAACTTTGGGGCGGAAAGTTGGACCATTTTTGGGGCAAGGATAAAATAGAACATCAATATCCAGAACTGAAACAATTTCTCTAACCTGCACATATTTACAATTGCTAGCAAACATCAGAAGAAAGCTGCAGAACATAACTTCAGAAGCATAGTACTGATAAGGGCAATCAACTAGTGAAAATATATGAAATATATCATGGTTTATCATGCACATGGACATTGATCCTGCCAAATTAAACACATGCAAATCAAATCTTACTTGTAAAATAATTTAATATTACCTTGCGACAGAATGGACAGCTGAACTTTGCCAGTGATCAAGGAAACCCATGTGTGAAGAAACAAAAGTAGAAATATTCAGTTTTACTATCCAAAATTGCATCGGAAGGGAAAAAAGGAAAAAAGAAGAGCCTATAATTTTCTTTTCTTTTCTTTTCTTTTTTAAAGAAAGTTATATATACTCATTTTGCAAGCATGTTAAATTATAGGGAAACTAGTGTACCTTTCAAACTCATATATCTCAATAGGCTTCTCAGGCCGAGGGCCTACTTTTGAGCTCTCCTTCACCTTGTAACCTATATTGACAAAATGAATTCTTTATGTAATTTTACAAAAACAGGATTCCCATATACAAACGTGAAGCATGTCAACTTAAAACTTCAAATGGATCCTCCACTTTTTGCCTGAGATACAATTTCTTGCAGCCATTAAACAGGCATCATTACAACTTAGTACAATAGTAACTTAGAAAATTTGACAGCTACCAGCTACTTCTAGAGCATATTGGCCAGGTGGAATCTCATTCTTGGAAACAAAAGACGCAGAATACCTGCCATAATACAATGCAAATGCAAGAAATTCAGAAACCATGCAACCGGTGGTGCTATATTTAAACATGCTACTTTCAGCAGCTGCAGTATTCTGTATGTCATAACTTGAATGCATAACAATACTTCAGATCATAATTCCTGGGTCCTTTTAGTGTTTTATCTTCTTTATAACATTTTGACCTTTCCTTTTTTTTTTTTTATTGGCAAAATGACATAAACAGAAGGCAAAACAAGTGAGAAAAGAAGGAAAGAACCAAAAAGATACCAAAGCTGAAGGACCCATTACTGAAGTATCGCCAGACAACTTGAAATCCTGTCTAAAGTGTTCAATCTTGTATACATCGGGGAAAATTCTCAAAACTTGCATCCTCTTCCTAAGTCATTTGTCTCCTTAAAACTGTCTATTGCATAGATAATCTTGAACAATTAAGTATTTATATGTCCTTTTTTATGCTTATTTTTCCCCACCAATCCAATAGATTTCTCTTTCATTTGTTCTACAGAGATCCTCCGGTCTCCCATTTTGTGGGGAGACTAGAAACTAGTCATTCAATTGAATGAATATTCTATCAAAGTCATAAAACTAGTCTAAAACTTAATTACTATGAATAATAGTAAATAATAAATATATTCTCCTGCCTAGATTTTTTTTTTTTCCTTTTTTTTTTTTACTGGTTTTAGCTCTCTCAAGAAAAATGCATCTGGGAAGAGCTTATTATAGTTAATTTGCAGAAAATAGTTGTAAATTTCAGTAAGTTCAACCTGTCACACATTTTATCAGTATTGTTAATTACTCAATTAAACTTAAAATTCACCCTCATATCTATCTCATAATCTTAAAAAATAGAAATCAAAATAAAAATTACAAAATTTTTCAGACAAATAAGCAAAAGAAAGTTGGTTTTTCCGTACCCATTAACGAAAACACCAGTGCCCAACCGGAAAAACAAGGCGGGAGCAGCACCAAGAATGTTCAGAAACTGGCCGGACTTGATTGCGAACGGCTTGGGCTCTGGCGGCTTGAAATTAGGCGGGGCAGTAAAAGAAGTCTCTTCTCTGGTGGTTGTGGCGCTAGTTGAAGAAGAAGAGAGAGGAGTCTCTAAGCTGGCTCTAATAATTGGAATTGGCCTTCTAGGTGTTTTCCGGTTGCCGGGAATTGAACGAGAAAGTAAAGATTGAGGGATATTGAGGATTCCAGCCATAATTTTTTACCGGCGACGAGGACTGGAAGTTGGTGTTCCTGTGTTGAGTACTTGGAGTTGGAGACTTTCCTGTTAAAGACTGTGACAGGTAATTTAGTTAGGCCCTTTATTTTTGAATCTTCTCTTCAAGAGACATAAATAATATACATTGAGAAAAAATCCTTTGAAACTCAACTTGTTTGAATTTGATGATGACAGAACAGAAGATTTTTTTTTTTTTTTAACCTATTTACGTGAACTAAAATATTTTTATTTGTTTCTTTTTATATTATATATTTTAGCTGTTTTATAATACTCCTACTTTATATACATTTTGACCTTTTCCCTTTTTTTTTTTTTTTATTGCAGCCCAAAATGACATCAATACAGAAATAGGCAAAAACAAGGTTAGAGGTTAATATAATGAAGAGAACTAAGAACCTCTCATAAACAAGATCATTCCAAAGTCTAGGAAGGGAACCATTTAATTAACATGAAAAAAAAAGTATTCGCCAAGACCAAACTTGAACATCCTGTCTAAAGTGTTCATACTTCGGATGGACATCGGGATTGGATCGTGAAAAATTTCTCAAAAAATAAGCGTGTGGCGAGTGTGCGTCTCTTTCCTAAAGTTCCACTTTTGTTACTAAACCTTAATTATACTTGTTTCTTATTGTATTAGATAATTCTTGTTTTTTACAAAATAAATTTAAAGTATTTTTATAATTGTCTCTTTATTTTTTATGCTCTATTTTTATCTGCCCAGCGCAGGAATAACTCACACCTAAGATATTCTTCTTCAGTATTTGTCTACAGAGATCCTCTCCGGGTCTGCCCTTTTTGTTGAGACGCAAAACCAGGTGATGACTAGAAAAACTAGTACATTCCAAAATATTGCATACATGGGAATTTTCATATCAAAGTCATAGAAATACAATTGCTACTTATAAACTTGAATTAGTACTATAGAGAGAATTAATAGCCTCAAAAATAAAATAAAAACTATAATTCATCACAATTGATCCTAGATTTTTTTTGTATTTCCTTCGTATATTTTTTTTTATATATTACTGGGTATTTAGCATGTCTTCCTCAAGAAAAATGACTACTCCCCTTGAGGTAGAAGAGTATGGTCCCCATATCATATAAGTATTAAATTTGCGCAACGAAAAATAGATTTTGCGCATAAAATTTCTGAGTGTAAATGTTTCAACCCTAGTCACAACATTTAATCAGATATATTGTTTAATTTAATTAGATGCTCCATTTAAAACATTAAAAAATAATACACCCTACAATATCTAATCTCATAATTACTTAAAAAATAAGAAATCTCTCATTATAAATTAAAATCATATTTACCAAACTAGTGGTTTTATACAAGAACAAAATTTTTAAAGAGAAAAGATAGTTTTTCCAGTAACACACATATAAAACGAAAAAACACACAAATGATGACACCAAACCGGGAAAAATAAACAAGAGCACAAGGGAGCCCAGCATCACAGAGAGAAGAATTGTTTGCACGAAACTTGGACCGCTGTACTTGATTTTTGTCGACGGTTCTGTGAGGCCTTCTTGTGCTGTACGTGGACTTTGGAATTTTGAGGCGACGGTGAGCCCAGGCTCAGTAAAATTAAAGTCGTCTTCTCTGGGGTAGGTGATATTGTGAGACGGCTTCGTTGAAGTTATAGATTTAAGATCGATAGAGTTCTCCTAAGCTCGGCTTTTAACTATAATATAATTGGGAATTATGGCCTTCTAAAGGCAGTCGTCTTTTTCCGCAGATTTTGTCACGGGAATGTGTGTTCGAGATATTGTCCAGAATTTGAAGGGAGTAAGATATTGCAGTGATTCCAGGCCATAATAATATCATTTACCTCTCCGTCGAGACGTACCGTGAGGATGGAAAGGTTTGGTTGTTTCCCTCGATTGTCTGAAGTAGAGAGTTCTGTTGCTAGAGTTGGAGACTTTTTTCCCCCAACCTAGTTATATAGAGCTCCGTGTAACAGGTAAAAATATTTATTAGCTTTAAGTGACTTCCTTTTTACTTTTTATGAGTTTCAATTTCTTGCTTGCATTACGCAAAGAGACATAAGAGCTTTTACTATTCTTTAGCATATTGAGAAAAAATTCTAACTATAGTGAAGATACAACTCCCAAAAAACTATGTTTTTTGGAATTTTTGATGGATGAGAGACAGCAACAAGAAGATATATGGGAGGAGTTTTGTGTTTTTTTATATTTATCTTTGTTTTTTTAACCTATTTACGTGAAATACGTAAAAATATTTTATTTGTATTTCCTTTTTGTCGACCCAGTTATACTTATCAAATTATATAATAATATGTAATTATGTATTTAATTATATTTTTTTATTTATTCATAAATAATTGTTTCTAGTAACTCAACGTCTTATCATTATTAATTTGTATAACAATATTATTACTAGATTTAATTTTATAGTAACATATTATTCTAATATGTTTTTTTATTACTCAGATAATTTTATTAAATAAAAATTTGTACTTTCTTATTTAATATTTGGTCCTCTATTGAAAATTATTTTTTACATCATTGGATATTTAGTTTATTAAATATAAACATATGTCCATATAAATAAATTTTATATAAATAATAAAGCAGTATTTTTATATGGGATGCAATTTTTATTTTTGAAAAAACCAGCTAGAAACCACTTACAAAAGAGAATTAAATAAAAGTTAAGGTAAACATAAATAGCTTAAGAAAAAAAATTTTCGATATAAGTATAGGGTTGGTTGAATATCTATTGGGGCCTCAATATGAATGCCATTCCCGAAACTCTAAGCTTGCCAAGCAAAACCAACGACCAAGATATTGTGCAATATTTTGCATTACTACAGTTCCCCTGCCCAACTGATTTAAATATAAAAAACAAACATTAAAATTAAAAATCTATTGAAATAATACAAAAATTATTTTTTACCTCATAGGTCTCCCAACACCTACTGCTTGAGTTAACTATTTAATTGTTCAATTTTGCCTCCTTTCTTCATTGTTGATCCACCACTCTTCAAACACCCCTGCCAAATTGCTCTTCTCCCTCCACAACTTCTCTGCAACTTATGCGTCATCTCACCATATATAGAATTGACAAGAGCTTTTCACTAGTTTATAAAAATATAGAGATTTTAGATGTCATAATGAGTCAAATTGAAATCGAAAATTTCATGAATTCAAGTTAAAAGGCAATAGTGCCATAATCAAAATAGAAATGCTCAAAGTAGAAGCACTAAACATAATTAATCTTTCTTTCGTACACCCAATGTTCCGAGCCTACAAAATTCTTACAAAAATACTTTTATGGGCTATTTGGATAGGATGGGAAATAAGAGATTGTAAAAATATATGATTTTGGCATGAATTACTCGGTGCTCAAATGTTAGTATCTCTTATATATTTGTAAATTTTATATTTAATTTATAGACTAAAATTTATTTTATTATATATTAAAATAAAAATTTTCTTTCATTATTTGGTCCTCTATGAAATTATTTACATATGATATTGTTGTTATATATAACTTTGCATAATAGATATTTTTTATATAACATTATTAATGGATGCATTTTTTATTTTTGAAAAAAAGAAAAACTTAAAGAGTAGTAAACAATAGTAGAAAATTTCGAAAGTTGGGTTGGATTTTCTATTGGGCCTTTGAATGCCCACGATCTAACTGCAGAAAACCAACGCCAAGAATGCATTTGATTCTAAGTCCTGCCCTGAAAAAAAAAACAAAAAAAAAAACTTGAATTACAATTAACTATTGTCCAACACCTACTGCTTGAGTTAACTATTTAATTTGTTCATTTTGCCTCCTTTCTTCATTGTTGATCCAACCTCAACCCCATTCTCTCTCCCTCCACTCTCTCACTTATCTCTCTCACCATAGAAAACAGAGCTTACACTGTTAAAAAAATTAGATCTATTGAGCAAATGAAAATTTCTGATTCAGAAGCAAGCATATCAAAATAGAACTCAAAGGAGCAAAATTATACTCTTCGCAAGTCCATAAATTCTTCAAAATTTACTTTTATGGGCTATTTGGATAGATGGGATGGATGTAAAATAGATGGTGAAAATGTCTTAAAATTTTTAAAATCTCTTATTTAGTTTGGGTGAGAATGTTAAAAAGAGTGTAAAAAAATTTTTATTTTACACATTTCTATCCTAATTTTCACTCTATTTTGTAAGGAAAATGATTAGTGTTAGTTTACACCCTTATCTTACTTTCACCCTTATTTTACTTCCTTTTTCCAAATATAGCATTAATGATTCAAAATAACACTAAACACATCAGCCAAAACAGAAAACTGAATACATCAATTAACTCTTTTCACTCATTTTCTCATTAGGCAAACAGAGAATGCAAAAGGAAAATTAATCTCAAAAATATTACTCTCTCTGTTCACTTACTTTAAAGAAAATAGAAAAAGCTCTAGAATTAAAAAAGTAGTTAAGTAAATATTTTTTTCATTTTTTGCCTATAATAACCTGATCAGCCTTAAATACATAAATAATGGCGAAGAAGCCAACTCACTTATTGAGTATTCCAAGAGTGCATTTATTAACCAAAATCTTTAAGGATAACAAGAGTTTTTTCAATTTCAAATTAGAACATTTGAATAGATTTACATCATTTTTAAAATACGGCACTAGTAAGAAAGAAACTATCCTCAAAATCACTGGATATGGGAACATAAAATAAAATTTTGTGCACATATTAGTAAGGGTTTATATCCATGTACAAGCAATTTTTTTTTTAAAGTAGGGTGTAACAATATAAACCTGTGACTATTATATGCTGACATTCCAAGAAAAATACTCATGTTTAGTCATATTTGTACTTCGTGCTTAAATTAGTTCACACTTCTTAGAAATTGAGTAGAAACTTAGTCAACAAAGTATTACAATTAAGTTTGTTGGAAGACATTTAAATTTCTCTCCAAATTAAAAGATGTAATATGGACATAAAGATTTTTTTATAAATAACACGCAACAATTAAAAAGTGTGGTCATATTATGAAACATGGCTAGTATACGTATTTTTTATTCAAGTTGAAATTCGTAAAGTCGAACACATTTCTAACAAACCACCTATAAATTGTTATT